GGCACCGTACATTTTTCTGCAAAGACAAATAATTTGGCAGCCCCCCACCCCGTCCCGTCCCAGCCCTGGTTTGCAGCGCAGAAGGGGTTTTGCCTCTTTTTCCACTAGGAAAACAGATATTTCGGTGGTGCCGAGGGGGCCCAGCACAGCCCACCCGCCTCAGGATGGCTGGTGGGATGGGGCCACTTCCGACACGCTGGACCCCGGAGTGCGGGGATGCCCCCATGCGTGGTCGGCGGCTCTGGCAGCAGCGGTGGCCTGCAGGGACCCATCGCTGTTCAAAATAAATGCTCGTGTGAGGCTGCCTCCCCTGGCTGATTTATACAGCCTTTTATGGCCCGCCTGTGCAATACATTGATGCTTTTGTGCAAAAAAATAAAAAGGTAAGATTAATGTAGATGAGACACTCATCTGATGGCAGAGTTACCCATGGGGAAAGTAAAGTCTAACCCAGAGCCGGAGGAGCAGCCTGCTGCCGGCACGGTGTGCTCCCGGCCACCTCGCAGAGCCAGTGCATCCCGGGCACGGCAGGGCACAACACGGGTGCTGAGGGACCCATGCCTTGGGAAGGCTCTGAGCACCCAGCCGTGCCATGGGGCAGGATTGCACCCCTGGGTGCAGTGGGAGCCCACGGCAGAGGAAAGTGTGCAGCACCCTGCACCTTGCGGTCCCTGGGCTACCATGCCGTGCAGAATGGGTGCTAATCGGCGTGGCTGCTGGAGGGGCACGAGAGCCCGGCCTGGCCTGCAAGCGTGGCTGGGGCGGCCGTCAGCATGGCCTGGGCTGCAGAGCTGGTGCGGTGCCTTGCCCTGCCCTTCAGCACTCGCCCCATCCACAGCTTTGCTTCCCTCCCTCCTCCTTTCTGGGGCCATTTTGGCTGGAATTTGATGCTGGAACTCCGCTGCCTTCCAGAGCTGACCACAGCATCCACGCCCATCCTGGGGTGCATCTTCACCTCGTGCATGGAGGTGCATCCAATGCTCCTTGTTTTGCCTGTGCATTTGCCCGTGAGTACTTGGTCCCCCCCAGAAAAGCCTTGCCCTAGCCGTGGCAGCCGCAGGAAGGTGTCAATCCAGTGGGAAGCCCAGGACGGTGCCCTGGGCAGCAGCGGGGGGCTGAGCCCCCTTGTCCCCAGTGCCAGCACAGCACTGGGAGCTGCCCCACCACTGCCTTTTGCAGGCATGGCCTGAGCGAGGCAGAAATCTCCCAACACTAGGATATGCACCTTCCCGCTCTTGTTTTTCTTGCAACCCCAGCAACCCTGCCGTAGCCCCTCCTGCACAAAGTAACGGGGCAGGTGAGCTGCAGGGGGGTGGCAGAGTTCACTGGGGTGACACCCGGGACCCCCTGTGCCAGGCTGTCAGTCCGCTCCACGGGCCTCATCCCGGACCCGCTGGGATGCCAGCACAGGGACCACCAACCTTATCACTCAGCCTAAATCAGTAGCTGATGCGGGAGGCAGTGAGGAGCTGGGCTGTGCAATCGGCTCCAGCGATATGGTGAAATCTGGAGCCAGAGAGGAGAAACATTTGACGTGGGGCCATGACATAAACTCTGTGGCTGAGTCTGCTTCAGACAGCATGGTAGATGGGTTGGGTAATGATCCCCTCTGGGTTATGTCCAGGGCTGACGTGTGATGGATGGAGAGACAGCAGAGAGCTCTCAGCACCCTGTGAACACGCAGCACGAGGTGAAGATCCCAAAGTCAAGTGTCAATTTTTCTTAACCCTGGCTAATGCGGGCTCCTTGCCTCCTCAGTTAGCGGCAGGATGGAAATGTAAGGCAGCTCACTGAGCTGAGCTCCTCCGGCGGTGTCAGCGTGGGAGCAGGGCTCCCCTTTCCTCTTCATCCCACTGCATCCTTCTGACAACGTATTCTCCAGCTTCAGCTCGCTCTGCAAAGAGTCTCCTCAGCTCTGCACTCCCCATCGCGGCTCCATGTCCCTTCCAAGCTTCGGCCAAGGAAACCAAACCCGCTCAGAGTCTTTGCGAGAGACCCATGCTGTGAAACGGAGCCTGGATGTGACCCCGAACTCATGGGCTGATCCTCTGGGGCATGGACCAGGGCGCCCGTTTACCGGCATTGCCGCAATGACAGCCCACATGCCGTAATTAAGGGGGCTGTTTCAATCAGGGGATGATGTAAGATCCTGCTCGCCACGTCCAAGGGAAAATCAGGACAGCTGCAGCCTCCTGGGACTAGCAGGGAAATAAATATCCCCCCCACACATGGAGTTACGGTGTTTTAGGGATATCTTTCAGCTACGCTCCTGGATTGACTCCATTCCTGTGCATACATCTATGCTTTCACATTGCCAAAGGTGCCAGAAAAAAAAAATGTGGCTGTATATGGCAGCGTCACGTGGATGAGGAAAACACACTCATCTCAATCATAAAGAAGAGTTAATTACATGTCCCTGTTCTCCCTACTTTTCAAAGCAATTATAAACAGAATGAATCATTATGCGTCTGCTGATAATCATTTTCATTCCGCATCCCCGCTGAATTGCAGGGTGCTGAAGCACTCTGATGCTTGCAGCATCTCCAGAGAAAATAAAGCAAATTTAGCTCTTTTTGAGCATCGTGGCACCAGGGCACCCAAAGCAGAGGGATTTTGGGGAGAAATCACGCAAAACACCCAAGAAACAGGGATGCCACCCTGGTGGGAAGCGTGCAGCCATGCTTTCAAAGGGCGGGAGGGTCTTGCGAGGCGGGTGGGCTTTGATTTTTATTTTCCCTTTAGAGGAAAGCGTCGGTGTTTGGGGACACCGAGACGTATAGAGTGTCCGCTCTGCTGCTGGCAGGCTGCCCGCCAGCACGCACGGTGCCGGCCTTTTGCGGTCGTGCATATGGTTCATTGGCAGGAATTTGGTTGCTCCTCCTGTTTCAGGGCTTGCAACGTGCATGCACACCGCACCCCCCCAGGCACATTGCAGGAGGTAGTTTTGCTGTCCCAGAGCGTGCAAGCATCTTGCAGGCTTTCAGCTGCCTGTTCCTGCCTGCTCATGCCTGCAGTGGTACCCGCCCGCCCGCGCTTGCTCCCACCCTAGGGTTGTTTTCCATCACTGGTGGGCAAGAAGGCAGGCTGATGCTCAGCAGACGGTGGGGAAACGCTCTCCAAGGGGGGATGGAGGCAGCATCAAGGTCACTGCTGACATGATGAATACTGAGCTGCTCACGTCTCAGCCACAGCGATGAAAAATTAATGAATTTCTTCCCCTTCCATCTGCAGAAGCTCTGTCAGCTGCCATTTTTCCCCACTTCTCCGGTTCATCGGATGTTTCCTTTGGTCCAAGGAATAAATGATTAAAACATGTGAGAGTTGTGGAGGGGGGAATTGCTGCTGCTCATGGGGTTTTGGCCCTGGAGTGGGCATGGAGCTGAAGCAGTGGGGTACAGGCAGCTTTGGCTCCTTGGCCAAACCAAGCCACAGCTGGGATGGGAAACGGTGCCCAGGGAGGCGCTGCTCCCTCCAAGCCCGGGGTCCGCTTTGTTTTGGGGTTGTTTTTCATGTTAAAGCAACAGGAGGCTCCAAATCAGGAGCTGGGGAGGCAGGGGGTGAGGTTGGATAACGATATACCTCCTGATTAACGCCCTCCCTTGGCTGGCTTCATTATTATGATTACACTCTGGCTGTAGCATAGCAACAGCTAATTGTTGGTTGGATGCAAAGTGCATAATTCCCTGTATTAAAATTTTATTAAGATATAATTGCATTCATCTTGCAGCAGTGGATGCTTCAAAGATGCCGAGAAGAGGCAGCAGCGCTTGTTGGGGCTCTGCTGTGTTCACCTCGGGCTGCCGCCCCAGTTGATGGGGTTTCGAGTGATGGCTGAGCCTCGGGACATCGGGTCTGGGTGTCAGGATGTCAGGGGTCCTCAGTGCCGGACGGGGGCTGGGTGCTGGGTTTCAGGTTGGAGAGGGCTGGCTGAGGGCACCTGGGCTGCGGCGCCTCTTGCACAGAATATTGCATGCAGAATATTCCCTGACAAACCCTCAAAAGATAAATTTTCATCCATTGACAAACGAAAATGAGGATTTGAGAGGTGATGAAGCGCTGCCATGTATCAGTGCTGCTGGAGGGCTGCGAGGGGCAGCTGCCGTCAGCACAGGAAGGTTTTTGCAACCTGTTGTTAAGAAGAGACTAAAATAGGAGCTTACAGCTGCCAAAAGCCCTTTGCTCCCCCGGCACCGCGTCCCTGCTCCTCTGAAATCCAGACAGGA